TTCTTACTGTAAAAGTAATAATTTTATAAAAAGCTGGAATTTATCAGTATTATTAGAAATTTCTTATTATTTTCTAAAAATAAAAATAAAGAAGATAGTAATACTTTATTTAATTACTTTTATTTAATCTAAAAATCTTTTTTTTTATATATTTTTAGATAACGGTTAAGATGGTCAGGTTAATAATCTATTAATCTAAATATATCTTAACTGTATTAAAACTAAAAAAATATAACAGATAGATTTTAATATTAAAAACAATTAAAATAGTTAACTATCCGATTTTTAACTATACTGCAGTCAGATATAAAAATTTTCTTAATCTGACTATAACCTGGCGGTTAGGTATAAAAATTTCAATTAACCTGATCTGACCTGGCCGTTAGCCACTCTATCTGGGGTTTCTCAGTAGTAACTATATTAAATAAGTTTTTATATTATTTTAATAGTAATTTACTTTTATTAAATAATTTTATTAAAATAAATTAAAAGCTGTAATACTGAAATATATCTATTTAATATAATTATATATTAATAATTAGTTTTAATATATATATAAAATTATTAATAAAAGATCATATTATTATAACTATACAGATAGTAATATAATAATATTAACTATATTTAATTTAATATATTATTATTTAAAAATTAAAAAATCTAAATCTGAATAGCCACTGGATACTAATAAAAAATATTATATTAGAATTTTTTTTAATCTTAATTTTCCAGCGGAGTAGATTGTTCTTGTTTTATAAAGTATCCGAAAATACTTATAATCTTTATATTATTTTTTATATATTTAATTTTTATATAATAAAGATTTATTTTTATTTTTAGATATATTTTTTTAAACTAAATTAGAGATTTAGTACTTCAGGCGGGATTATTTTAAATAGCTGGCCGATTAGAAGTATATCTAATTTATATTATTTCTACTTTTTATTAATAATTTTAAAGTTTATTAAAATATATATAAAATATTAAAAAATCTTTTATCTTACTCCAGCTGAATTAATCTACTAAAAACAATACTAATTAAATAACTTATTTATATTAATTTTTAGATTTTATAATATATTAATAGAAAAGATTATAGAGATATTTAAAAAAAATATTTTTAATATATTCTAAGACTTTTACAGTTGGATTAATAAAAAAAATAGTTATAACTATATTAGTTATAGCTTTTACTAATAATATATTATAGTAAATAAAAAATAATAGAATTTAAAGTTATAGTATTTAAATTAATTATTAAATATACTATTATTTAAAAATAAAAAGATATAATCTAAAGTTCGATATTTTATTAAATAAATACTATTACTTTTAAATACAGTTATTTTATTGATATATATAGTTTCTTTTAATATCTACTGAATAAAAATATTTTTTAGATTTTAAAAAATTATAGACCGATCTATTACTATTAGAATTTATTATATTAATATTTGATTTTATTTTAAACCGGCTATTTAATATTTTATATTTTAATTAAAAAAATTAGATTACAACTGCAGAACTGAATATAAAAAATTTTTATATTTATTAATATTATAAAATATTCTACAGTACTGTAAAAAATTATTAAATTCTATAATTAAAAAATTCTATTTTTAAAATATTTATAAATTTAGATTTTGTTATAATTAAATCAAAGTATTATTTTATTTTTAATTATTTTATAATATAAAGCTGATCAGACTTAATTTTATATTAAATATTTTAATTATATAAAAATTTTATTTTTAAAATTATTTTTAATTTTTAAATTAGATTTTTTTATAAAATTTATTATCCGGATATGTACTGTGATTGTATTAATTATTATATTTATTTTAATTTAATTTAAAATAATTTTAATTATTATTTAAAAAAAAATTTAATTTAATTATTAAATCTTTCAGTATCTGATTGCTATTACTTTAATAATAAATATAAAAAAGTTAAAATAGTTTTATTTATAAAATAAAAAGAATATTTTAATTATTATAAATAATATTTTTTTTAAAATTAATAGTTTTTTTAAATCGACTATTATTTTTAAAAAATAATAAATAACTACAGAATCTTACTATTTTTAATTTATATATTAATATTTATTTTTCAGTCTTTACAGCTGAATATAAACTAATAATAAACTATGATATTTTTTATAAAAAATAAAAATATAAATAAAAATTTATTTTTAGATTATATTTAATAGTAGCTGTACTAACTTTGATTTTTAATAATTTCAGATATTATAAATTCTAAATTAATTAAGTATTATCAGCTGAGCTTATAGTTTATTTAATTTATATAAATTATATATATTAATTATTAAAATTAGATTTTAATAATATTTAATTTTATAATTTTTTATTCAGATCTCAGTACTTTTTAAAGCTCTGTCAGAAATATTCTTAGTTTACTAAATATTATATTTTTATAAATAAATATAATTAAAATAATACTGAGATATTAATATCCGGTAATTTTCAGAATTAACAGATTAATATATTAATTTAAAAAATTCTAAATATATTTTTAATAATATATATAAAAGAATATTCTTAAATAATATTAATATTTTATAATACTATTTTTTTCTTTTATTAGTATTAGATTAAGTTTTTTTTTAAATTAATATTAAAGTTATATCTGTCTTATTATTATTAATAAATTAGTAGTTCTTATATTTTTAAATCTAAGATTTTTATTTAATATAATTCTATAATTATATTTTTATTTTATAATATTATATATTATTTAGATATTTAGTATTTTCTATTTCTTTTAGTAAAGCTTCTATAATATATTTTTATAATAAAAGTTTAAACTTATTATATTATATATATTAGATTAAAGATCTGGAATAGACTTTAATTAATTTTTACAGTAATATTTAAAAAATATTTATATTAAATTTTTTATAGAAATTTAATTATTATCTATTAAATTCTACTATTTTTATATATTATAATTAGAAGATTGACTATATATAATAATTTATATTAATTATCTTTTATCTATAACTATATATTATTTATAAATTATAGTTTTACTATAGTTATTTTTAAAAAAAAATTAAAATAGTTTAGTTTTATTTTAATAATTAATACTAGTAAATAAATTTATTTTTAATTATTAAATTAGAAGAAATTATAGTAACGTATTAGATTATTATAAATATAGATAATAGTTATTAAATAAATATTTATAGATTACTAAAAAAAATAAAAAAATCCAGTTAAAATTATTTTATAACTATGAATAACTGTTTAGTAATTCTTTACTATTAGTTTATAATTTTTTTTAATCAGCTAAAATAGAAATAAATACTATTATAACTAATAGTAATAGATTATTCTTCTTAATAATTATTATCTGCTATTTAGAAATAGTAAATACCAACCCCCTCAGCCTGCTATATAACTAGATTATAATAGTTTCTTTTTACTCTTTATTATATTTATACTTTTTTTTATTAAGTACTTTTTAAATAGTTATCAATTGCTTAGTATTTTTATACTAGCTAGATACATTCCTAAATTTCTTTTTTTTTAAATTAAGAATTTGTAAATTGCTTGCTAAGCAGTTCCAAAGTACTTAAAAAATACTTTATTTAATTATAATAAAAAAATTAATAATAGATTTATTAATAGTTTTACCAGCAGTATCTTCAGCAGCATCTTCAGCTAAATATTTAGATTTAATATTAGTATTATTTTCCGATTCAGAAAGTTCAGAATTCTTATTATCAGATTTATTATCAGAAACATCTTTAATTTTAGATTTTAAAAAAAGAACTGTACAAATAAAACGCAGATTACTATAATTAAAATAACTAAAATTATAATATTTATTAATATTATAATAACAGTTAGTTTTACTGGTACAGCTAGTACAAGACACTTTACCCCTATACTAAAAAACTAAATAATATATAAAAATAAAATAAAGCTAAGCAGTTAGTAAACAGTTTTAAAGTAGTTTTAAAGCAGTTAAAAAGTACTCATCTTTTTTTATTTAATAATAGAAAGTTTGGATTTATTTTAAATAAAAGTATTAACTAAAATAAATCCTGCAGTTGAAGATATAGTTTAAATTAAAAAAGAACCAGCTGCAGAAAAGAAAGATTTTTTAAAAATAAATAAAAATTTTAATATAGAAGTAGAGGCGGTAGACTTTATAAAAACAGAAGCACTCTAAAATAAACTTTTATATTATTTTAAAGCAGTTAATAAATAGTTAGTAAGTAGTCTATAACTGCTTAATAAATACTTACTAATAGCTGTATTTTGGTTTTTCTAATTTATATATTTCTTTTTATTTTTTTTCTCTAAAATATTATTTTTTTTTAAAATACGACTTAATATATGTACGCAGGTTATTAATAAATTAAAAACAGTATTAAAATATTTTAAAATTAATTAGCATATAGTCTGCAAGTACTTTATAACTGTTTATATATTTTTTATTATATTTTTTAATACAGCAGTACAATTTTTTATAGTAAATTATAAAATATCCGGTATTATTCTAAATAGTTGGCAATCAGTTAGAAAGTGCTTAACAACTGCTTTAAAAATTATTTATAAAGATATATGTAAAAAAAATAAATAAATCGTTCAGATCCTTCTTCAGATACTATTAATACTAATTCTATTTTTTATTAAAATTTTATCAGTTTTTTATTAAAAAATCACTTTAAAATTATTTTAAAAGGTGTAAGTAGTAAATAAGAGCTTAGAAAGTGATTATACTAATATTCTGAGCAAGTACTGCTATAGTTATAAAAAATAAAAAAAAGATGATTAATAGTAGTAACAGCAGTAAGATATAAGAGTAATAAAAAAGTTGGTATAGCACAAAATCTATATTTTATATAGGTAACTAGCTCGCTTGGCGGTTACATAATCAAACCGCTTAGTAAGCCATTTTCGTGCCACGCGACCGAAAAAACGAGATCAGCTCATCTGTAATCTGCAGTAATTCTTTAGAAAATGATCCTGGCCGAATGGCGACAGCCGTGTGGCTGTGGGTACAACAACTCCTAATGACTATTGAGTCAACAGTCTTATTCTGGTTTTACAAATGAGACTTGCTGCTTCTAGATTCTGATGTTCAATGCAAAATCTCACCATGTTCCCATCTGAAGATTCACTTTCTGTCTTATCGGCTTCTTCAATTCTCGCCCACCCCACTGCCTCTGAACGTTCCAGAATCTGGAAGGCTACATACCCCCACTGGGGTGATGCCCTCGCATTTGACGACTATATCACCCGTGAAGTCAACAATCTAAAGTTTTGTCAGGAGAGAAACAACAACTTCACCAACTGGATCCTTACCGACAGCAGTGCTCCCGATCAGCGGCCTCTCTTCTCCTCATGTGAAACTTTCACGAGGCGAGCCTTCATTTGCGGCAGGGAGGGTGACTTAAGAGAGGTGACATGCTGTGCTGTCGCGAGTGTGTTTACCTTTACTGAGTATCAAGGTCGAGGATACGCCAAGAAGCTGATGACATTACTCGCTCAGGAGATACGAGGTTTCGCAGATTTCTCCGTCCTATGGTCTGATATCGGGCCTAAATTCTACGACTCTGTAGGCTGGAAGCCGTTCAAGAGCGCTTTTCTCCAACTCCCAGCAATCAGTAGTGATGCTTCACTTGAGAATGGGCTAAAGCCTATTGAAATCGGCGATCTCCCACCTCTAGTAAAGCTGGACCAGAAGATCCTGCTTGAGCGATTAGCAGTTCCATCCCCGAAAGTTCGAGTCCTCATCCTGCCGGACCTCAGCACAATCGCATGGCATCTTTTCCATGAGGCTTTCATTTGGCAACATGTGTTCTCTCGCACCCCTTCAATCCATGGCGCTGTCTATACATCCCCAAAAGACCCCGGTGATAAGGTCTGGGCCATCTGGACGCGAAAGATCTACGGGCTGAAGCGCGAAGATAACGTGACTCACGTCATCCGTCTTGGGATGGGGAATGGGAGCATTTCAAACGATACCTTCAAAGTTGCAATCACCGCTCTGTGTCTCATGGCACAGAGGGAGGCAAATGACTGGAATTGTGGCACCGTGGAAATCTGGAACCCCGACGATCGAGTCCGACAAGTTGTAGAAGAGATTCAAGAGCTAGGAGCTAAGTTCGTTACTCGAGAGCATAATCAACTCAGCTCCATGCAGTGGTTTGGGGAAAGCTGCATCGACGAAGTCGACTGGATGTGCAATGAAGGATTTGCTTGGTGCTGAGGCGCTTGGTGCTTGACTGCGGATACTCCATCACCATCGTCTGGGGAATACACTCCGTGAATGAGATGTGTCTTACGTGCTTTTTTATCCCCACTCCACATCTTTCCTTCGGTATTAAACATAAAAAGATTAGTCCAGCAATGCGTGCCAACCGCTTCTGCTGTGTTTAGATTTGTTCGGAACTCTTACGTCGGTATGCCATTAGTTGGCGCATCCTCTGGTTAGGTTACTACCAACCGATAGTCAATTTTCTGAAATGTGGATGACCAAGACATGTCGGAGGTACGGAGGTGCGTAACGCCAAGGACCGAAACTATTTCGGAAAGGTAGCCAGATTCAAATCTTTCAAGCTTAACCTAACCTAAAATAGTCATCAAAGTAATCAGGTTTGGATAGAGGGCTGACACTTCTCATTATTGTCACGCAGGGCTCTCTGGAATATAGAGGTCTAAAAAGGTAAGTTGGCCATGATATGAAAGCCTGACGGGCCAAAAATTGTTTAATTCCCGACTGAAGTGCCGGAGGCAGCTTATGATGCCTGAATTCCTTCCTATCAGCCCCCAATCAGAGAACATGTGATACACGGATGTTTGCTGTAACCAACCGGCTGCCGACGATCACAGACTTGATCTGGTAAGGCAACCTCTCCGGTGTGGGTGTTGATCAGGGCCCCCATCTGGTAAACTAAGCCCTCCTGCGATTACCGACTTACCCTGATTCTTAGCCACAATCTTTGAGATGCGAAGATCGTTGTTTGGTCTCTGTTGGACACCACAGCCAAGGTTTGCCGGTTGACTCAGGGCATGTGTTTCATTTCCGCTCTCAGATCCCAGCCAACCATCCCCGTGGCCCTCATGCTCTGATTGTGGATGGTGTTTGGATTCATGGGAGCAAATCAGTCAGAGAACCGATATTAGCATCGCCCAAAGTTAAAAACAGCACTTTTAGGCTGTGCTACAGGGGTCTTGGTTTGGATCAGGACTGTATGCTTAGTCGACACAGCATTTAGCGCGGTTTACACGACTGTCCTGCAGGGTCTACTTACCCACTTCTTGAATTTCTGAGCCTCTCGAGTGGAACGGAAAGCGCAACCCATCACACACCATTGGTCTGAACTCGTTGGAGTTTGCTCGAGGTTCGGCCGCCATACCCCTGTCCTCGAATGGGAGAAGAGAGTCGCCGCATTAGCGTGGTCCTGTGCCAAACCCCAACACCGGAGTGATCATCGTGGGAATGTAGGTCGCTTTGTGTTTATCACTACTCCCTTGTACCAACGGCACGCCTTACACATTTCTTTTGTTCAGATGTGAGGCAATTGGTGAGCTGGAATGGGTGGGGGCCCTTTTGACATGCGCATATAAGAGCCAAAGCTTTCTCTCCGAGAGGTCCGCGAAGGCTAACCACAGCAACCATTTCCACAAATCGCTCCTCTGACCCCTTTTACAAACCAACCGATATTACACTTTTCAAGCAGAGAACCAAAATGGTCCAACTCGCAAGTCTCACCGTCGCGATTATTGCGACCTCCCTAGCCCCGATGGTCGCAGCGAGAAACTGCAAGACGGGCCTCAACTATTGTGGTTATAATCTTCTCAACATTGGTATGTTTGTCACCCCTGGCCTAGAGATATCCTGCGCTAGGTTCATTGACGTGCGACCTACATAGGCAACTATGCCGCACAAATTAATCAGGCCCTTTCCGACGCCAAGCAGCACATCGACAGTGCCCATATCCACGAATCGATCTTCCACTGTAATGGGGGATCTAACGGCGACATCACTTGGCTAGCCTACTGTGGTTCCGGATGTCAGGATGGTGGATCGGGAAAGAGCGATTTCTGCTAAACATGCTCGTTTCGAGGAGATACGTTTGAACTGCTCCGGGCTCGAGGCGCTTGCATTATACTATGGGGTTTTGTCAAGACTTATGTGTGCGTTGTGGGAATGAAGTCGTTGCATGGAAGTGTGCTCGACAAACTGCCGCAGACTAGCTTTACAACTCCTCATCAGGAAAGTGTTAATCACACCTTGTTCAACTGTTTGTCTCTTTACCTATTTCGGCGGCAGATTTTCATATAACCATAGGCCAGTAAACGTTCGGTAGATACGATTGACCACAGGTGTGGAGACTATATCTTTCTATCCGGATCCGCGACAGATCTTGCGTAAATGAATTTGATCAAGGAGGAAACTCCGGCATCACACTGTCTAATAGAACCCCGGATGATGCGCCAAAAGAATAAGGACTAGAAGGCACCGGCCGCACTGCAGTCTCAGGTTTTACTTTTCGATTGTCTTTACACCAATCTGTATGGCAAATACCTTTATCAAGTCACATGACAAGCTAACCGAACATTACCTTTCTGTGTTGTCTTTCTTAGGTCTTAGATCAAACTATGATGCATCATGGAATGATGGTTAGAAGACTCCAGAATTCCTAGGAAGGATGATCATTGCTATTTGACTTGGGGTTCAGTCCGGTAGTAATGACTTTGCTAGATAGTACTGTACTTGCCAACCTACGGAATCGTATAATAGCTACTCTGTGAAAATGAAACTCTGCTAGTAGAGTAACAAGAAAACAAAAGACTTATATATAAATACTGGTAATCCTATATCGTAATAGTATTCTTGGTAAAACAAAGAGAAGAAAAACCATGGATTGCCTGATAAAAATACCTGACTTCAAGAACCCTATATATTCTTATATGAAAGGGGCCTATCTGTTAATATGTAAGTAACACTCCACGTGGGGATCGAGGAGGGGTTTAGAAGACTTTACAAGAGGACATAAGAGTTAAGAGTATGATAGTCATGAAGGATTAACCCCTCTATACTAAGATTACAGCAAAGTACAGAAAACTATTGTTGCTACTTCTTCCTTCCTCAGTATCCTTACTATACTAGCAATGACTGCTTAATGAAAAGGTAGTGATCTCAAGAAATTCAGAGTAATGTATCCAAAGCTTTCTAGCTTTGACTTCCTTCTCATCTCCGCTTCCCTTGGAAGGTTTAGATACGGCTTTAGATCCCCTCTAATATGAGGACAAATACAATCCCCTAATATTAAAGGCCATTGGGAGGAAATACCTTCTATCATTCTTTCAATTAGAGTAGTTAGGATTTATATATTTACCTCTCCTGTCTATCTTTCTGCCGGCAGATTTTTTATTTCCACTTGGAAGACGGCTATTGTAGTAGATGGTCGCCGCTGCGGTAAGCGTCCTGGCATCGATTGTTCTCTCTCGTGGCTCACCCCACGATTTCTTTTTGAATCCCACATTGAGCGACTACTCTACTGCTACAAATAACAAAGAATGTGTCGGCGTTGCTAGTCCGGCCACGTGATTTCAAAGGCCTTTCCCCCTCTTGTTTACATACGGGAACGCAGATAGTTCCAACCACCAAGAAATGTGAGAACTTGTCCCAGCATCAAATCGCCGTCCGAATGTCACGCAGATCCATTCTCGATCTTCCTGCCGAAATCCTCAACCAGATCCTCTCCATCTGCGAGCAAGTCTCTCAGAAGGCAGACGCTCATTGCATCGCCCCTCTCCTCACCTGCCAACAGCTCTACCATCTCACACTTCGCGTCCTCTACCGCGACCTACGGTTCACCTACTCCTCTCCTCCTCCATCGCGGACGAGCTGCCTGCACCGGTCTCTGGAATCGAATCCAAGGCTATATTCGTTCGTCCGGTCTCTTGTTTTCGATCTGCGACCGGAGAATCCGGGCGAATATATCACGCTCGACGACTATGTGGCGGCCGCTAGCGTGCTAAGCCGGTGTGAGGCGATCCACTCGTTGCAGATCTGGGGCGCCGCCTTTCTGTCGCCCGAAGACCGGAAACCTTTCCAAATGGAAACGCTGCCGGGCCAACCGGCGATCGACCTCTGCCGATGGGAACTTTTGCAGTATGCTCTCTGCCAATGCCACACGTTGCGGAAGGTCGAGATGGCCAGCAACCGAGATTCGCCCGGCTATGGCTTCAAGCTCCGCTCCGACTTTCAGGCGCAGGCCCGTGACTTGCGGCTCTTGCCGGGCACGGGCATAAAGCTCCCTGTGCCAGGTACGACGACTTCCGAAAATGAACGTGCGTTACGGGTTGGTTGTCCCCTCCATTTACCTCGGAAGAATCATGTCCGAAGTAGAAGATCAAAGATCAGTCGAAGCTGACCCAAACCCTTCTAGATAGAACGAAAAAAAGGCGATCCAGGTCTGCAGGGTGACGCCCGCCGCCGCTCGATTGACTTCAGCATATCATTCGGGGAGGGTCACGCCGGAAAGGAGTATGAGGCGAGGAATATCGAGTTTATCCACGTCTTCGTGTGGATGAAACGTCGTCCGCAAATGCTCCGGCGCATGGTCTTCGGTGACTTCAGGTCCCCTACACTGATCAAGGAGTTCCGAGCGGCGGCGTACCCCAACCTGCACACGGTCGTCTGTCCGCCCGTCCACGTGAGGGAGCGCAGGCGTGGGCATAGCCCATACAAACCGCCCTCTGAGGTGGTCGATCGGCTTCTGGGCCCGTCGGTGCATACATTTGTGTTCGACCTGGCCACCTATGATCAGCAGTTGGGACTGTCTTCTACCGCGTTCGGGGAGCTGGAGGAGCGATGGCTGCGGGAGCTGGCCCAGAGTGCCGCCGCCCCGGGCCGAAACTCGGCGCTGCAAACAATCTACATCGACTTTAAACCGGACCCGGATTGTGAACAGGGATTCGATCCGGCGAACTATGCTTGGGACCGTATAGTGCGATTGCAGAGGCAATTACAGCCATTGGGGATTCAGGTGAAGTATACAGCGCCTTCGATGACGCGAGAAGAGTATCACGAGCTGTGTCGCCAACATCAGGAGTGGATCGCGGATGAAGCCCGTCAGGAGGAATGAGGAGGATATTCTTGGATAACGCCTCCTTCAGGGGCTTCCCGGCTGGCCGCCATGACTACCGGTCGGAGAACCAGCTGCAGGGCTGTGCGGACTGACCCAATGTCGTATCATTTATCTACCCAAGCTTTGATTCATTTGATTAGCACAGTCTCCTCTTCTAGGCTAGCATAAGATCACCCCGCTCCCCCAGGGTGCATCGAATCGAGTTCCCCATTAGTCCAGTCATATTTAAGCGACATAACTAGCCCAACATCTTTGAAAGCCGATCCAGCTTTCTTAGGTAAGAAGCAGATTGATAACTTCATAGGGGCCCGTTATTGCTGCCAGAGAAAGGGCCGTTTGGCCATTCGCATCCTTGCAACTAAAGTCTATTCTGTTGACTTCAAGCAGCACTTCTCCCACTTGATGATGCCCAATCTTGGCCGCGAGAGTAGGAGCTGTCATGCGATCCATGTCCGGTTCGTGATACTGGCACGTGACCAGAGACTATGATTACCGCAGAACCAAGATTGGACGCATGGTGCAGGGCTATTGTCTAATACCTATCGGTCATGGTGAGAGACTTAGCTTTGAGCCAACCCAGCAGAGCGAGTATTAACTGCGTCCAAAGTTCCTCCTTGAGCAGCTAGCATGAGTGGTGATAATTCCATGTAGTGCTCATAAGTCATATCGAGGTCTCCGTTGGTCACTAGCAGATTCGCCAAATCCTAGCGGCCTGCGCGGAGTGCATGTCAAAGTAATTTATTCCGTCCGTCTACATCCAATTATTCTTTCAAGAAAAATGGATTTAATCATCTCAGGTGGCGGGTCGTTGTACATTTTAGAAAATGAAAAATTGTTACCATAGCTGCGCCTGAAGACCTGAATATCAACACCGGGTTTGAGCAGGTGTTGCGCCACCTCCGGGTGTCGGGTTGTGAGAACCAATCCAGAAGCCAAAGAGCGCCATTGAAATATGGTTGGGGTTTACATTCCAATCGACACCTAAAAGAAGAATTCTATCATCTGTTGTGCTATGGTCTGTCCAGACTGCGCCCACAGCAGGTCTGGGAGAGACCGGCCATCGTCTTTTTCTCTCGCCGCGAGAAGCCGTTTGACGACAATGATATGATCATGAATAATTGCTCGGTAAAGTGGGATTTTGCCATTCGCACCCTTTCAATTGGCCCTGGCAATTCCGGCCAGTGATAGCTCCATCACCCGATGATGGCCTCCAGCTGCTGCCTGGCAGAATGGTAACCCTGTGGTTTCAACATCAGCGCCTGCTGCAAGTAATATCTCAATGGTCTCCCAAGAGCCCTTCTTTACAGATGACTGATTGAAGTCCTGAATCTCTCGTCAAGAACATCCACATTAACCGTTTTCAAAGTAGTATGAAACCGAGTGAATTGATTATCCATCTCTGTATTTTTGTCTATCTCTTATTTGATCTGTAATCATCTGTTACACCACATTCAAAATCGAGAAAATACCTCGTCAAGTCGCCCTGGCAGGGATGCCAAAATCCATCATACTGGCGTGGCCCAATCAGCTACCCTACTCGCGCCTCCTTCATTCATCCTGATAGTACTGCAGCTCAGTATTCACATTCTGCCCAAACATGGCGTCATTGTCATTCGATGAACGATAGGTCAGTGAATTCGGGGGTTCGCATGGGTCCACGTCAACTTGCACGCAAAAGTCGCAGTTAACAATGTAGCTGCCCTGGGACTGATACGTAATGAACATTTTGAAAGGCCTCTCATCGGAGATCCACTTGGGGAAGGGTAGCCACGACTCATCGCCCCAACCTCGCCCCCTGCTGTAGGCGTTAAATCGAATCGTCTGGTCATGTCGACGAAATGAGATATGAAAGGCGATTTCTCCAAACCGGTTGTAGAGATTGAAGCTGTTGTTGTCGTTCTTGTTCCCTCGGTGGCCGGACCAGATTTGGTCGAGATCGATCCTCAGGCAATCGTTGGGGTTCAACTCGAAGCCCCATTCCCATGCTCCTCGAACCACATTGATAGAACTGTAGATGTTGTGCTGTTTTTGCCTCAGATTCTGGGGATGAACCTTGAGTCTGTGGAAAGTGGTGATAGTCAGAATCTTATGTTCACCCTCCACTCAGTTCCGAATTGCAAGAATAATCGTACTGTGAGCTCGCAGCAGGTGTGTGCAAGGGGTGATCGATCAGGACTGCAGCACCCTGTACAGTCAAATCCTCGGGGTAGTCTGGAATTTTGCTCCTATCGATTATCCCTTCGGTGGATGTGGATGCCATCATGTAGACCAGGCGGCTAGAGAAAGTGAATGTCACACAGAGAGATCGTGGTCAAGTCTACCTATCATTGCTAGGAAGGTTAAGATAGGCTTTTATAGCACGGTGGGCGGAGTTTACTGTCAAAATCAGCTACTATTAGATTCTATGATACTAGCTGAGTACAAGCGAGGGGGGTTGGTTTGGTTCCACTTTGGAAAGCTATTCTCCTAACCGAAAGCTGGCTGTGTTGGGAGCTCCACTCGCTGCGGCCTAACCTGATTCTAACCACTAGTTCGACATCTACACAGCGCCACCATCTCAACTGACTGGTGGGAATGCCGACGACGGTATGCTGCTCCCCTGCACCTCGCTTTAGCGATAACTAATAAAAGCTATCAGTCAGCCACCTTTCATTTTTTGTCCTGCTGACCAGCCTCTAGTCAGTCCAAGGATGCACATCAATCATGTACGGAAGGCTCGGATTCTCTCCACATCTGCGGCTGGTCCCCATGGCTGGCTGAACGAAAGAAGACTATGGTCAATTAGGGTTAGCCCGCAAATACGTGTGGCTGATGGGCTCATGCTTGACTGATCGAACCAACCTCTAAGGCAATTCTGCTCTGAGGGCCGCCAGGCTTTGAGCAGATAAAATGGCTCTGCGCTGTATTCTGTAGCCTTCTGTAACTTGTAGTGTTCGCTAGAAGGCCTCAATCCCATCATTTTAGTCCGGAGACCAGGACTAACGGGCCGCGAAAGAGACAGTAGGGTCGAACTTAGAGACTCGGACATAAGACACTGTGTCGAGATGGGTCTGATGGTTTGAGTTTCTCGTATCACTTGACGAATTGGCTCAGTCTAGGCTCGCCGCTGCCAGTCGATATGTTGCTCGTGACCCTTGTTCCGTGATCTCATAGTAAGCATCGCTTCTCACTTCGATCAGGAGTCGTCTTCGCATTCGTGTTCTATAGCTCTCTCTGATGGGATGGATACGGGGGCTATGCTTAACACTAGCCGAACAGGATGGCCCTGAACAGCGAAAAATATTAACATACACCTTCAAGCGGACAGTACCGATGCAGATTTTCTGCTTTGCAGTCAGGGAAAGACTGTTCCTGCATAGACGAGTGGAAGATGTTCTCATTATTCTTCTCCGAAAACGCTGCCATGGCTAGATCGGTCAAAAAAACCTAAATAGGTTTCCCTAACTGTCTGGGCAAGTATAATGGACGATCTTGCGCAGTGATTTACATAGCTTAGAAAAATACTGATAATGTTAGAGGATATTAAGGTTGTAAAATCAAAGCCTTGAGTATGATTTCTGACCGTGGAATAAGCTTATAAGCTGAAGAGAAGAAAGATCCTGAACTGATTGTTGATGTATGGTCCGCGGCGCAATGATAATTTTGTCTGATAGCCTTCTTATTATATAAATTTGAGTATGACTGGGCTTAGAAATAATTAGAAATTGTGAATAAATTTTTTTACCCGATCCTTAAGACCCTATAATAATCTAATAATTAAAGTTAATTGTCCGTGGTGACCAGGGATAACTAAAAATCTAACAAAAACAGAAACAATTAGCTGGTGCTAATATTAAATATAAGCTTAGAGTTTTTTCTTAGATTTGTGCCATAGTTTATAGATAAAACACGTGTTATAAAGTGTTGATCTCGCGCGCATTATTGCTCAAATAGGCTAAGAAAAAAGATCATCATTGGGACTTAGGACTCGGGATTTAGAGAACAGGGGGTATTAAAAAAGGCTGAAGTTATTCCAAGCAGAGGACAACAAGCCTCTGATGCATTGACGAACGGGACGTTGCCCCAAACTTTAAGCCTAAATTTAATAGCAAATTATTCATGCAATATACATTGTATAGCGTATATAATCAACTAAGAAAAGTAGTTTATATTTTATAAGTATAGAAGAAGACAAAAGATATTTACGCCAGTTGAGAAAATTGGAGCTATTATAAATAGTCCAGTAACTCAAGCATCACCCGCCTCGATAGGTTGAAAATCATATCCGTTGATATCGGCCTAATGTAGGCCCTTGAAACTGCAGACTCTTATGGATCTAGACAGTAAAGACCTGCAACATTTTATTTTATTGATATTAATCTGGCCATATACGGGAGAAAAACAACCTTTATATATAGTAGTATACACACACCACTATACTTTTAAAGGTACCAAAAGCAAATAGGGCTTATTAATAAGAGTGTTTCAGTAGCTTCAGGCTTTTATATAAAACTACTATATACTGTTGATTTCAAATCCTCCTATCTTCAATAAACAAGACCTCCTCTTCTGGACTGGTATAGGATCCACCCGCTAGCCCAGGGTGCATTGAGTAGAGTTCCCCATCCAGTCCAGTCTTACCCAAGCCACATGCCTAGCCCCACCCCTTTACGATAAGACCATGCGTTCGGCATAAACCCCTGAGTAAAAATTCATGTGCTGCCACTTTTATCACTCTGCCCTAGCCCTCATCTCTCTCTGTCTCTTCATCATCATTACCTAAATCATCTTGTTTCTGTGTTTTCTCTGCGACGCAGCTCAACCACCCAAGATGCCCTCCATCCCTCGACTCGCTTTCCTCTCCCTGGTCATCTCACCTCTTGTTTGGGCTCAGCTGAAGACAATCAACGTGATCACCCCAGGTGTTACTCCAACCACCTCAGTCTCATCGACAGACCTCGCCTCCTCCTCATCATCCTCAAGCTCGACATCCAGCTCAACAACAACATCAGCTCGACTCCCTACCTCCTTACCCAGCACCGCAACCACCCTTAGCAACCCACTAGACCTCACCACAATCTTTACCCAACCCTCCGACTGCGCCGGCGGAATAACCGAGATAGCAGCCTGGTCCACCGAACTGTGGCAGAACATCGTCAACCCGATCCCCACCCTGTCGCTATCCTCCTGCTACCCCAGCCAATTCTACTCCAGCGCGATAGCAACCACAATCCTGCCACCGTACACCCAGCTCGTCTGTCCACTGGACTGGGAGACGTACAATCTCACCGAGACGTATCTCATCTGCTGTCCGAGGTACGTTTTTCCGCTACTGATCGAGCGATCCGTCGCACCGCTGACTGGTTAATGCTCTGCATAGCGGGTACGGAGTTTACCTACCCAATTACCACAATGCGACGCGCCCGGGGCTGGGCGCCGTCTGCACGTCCAGCGTCTGGCCGAGCGTGTTGATGGACATTACTCGCTACGATGCCGCGGGGAAGGTGACGGTGATTCCGACCTCTGCGGGGGAGGATGGGACGTTGGTGTTTGCGACGGCGTTTGATGGGACGAGCGCTGCGGTTGTGGGTGAGGCTTCGGCTACGGCGGGGGGAGTCTCTGGCTCGTTGGGTGGGGGCTCTGCGGTTAGTGGTGGTGTAGGGGCTGTGGTGTCTACCGGTAAGGAGACTTCGGGGGCGTCGAGGGTGGCTATGCCTTGGGGTCGTGGGATTGGGGGGCTTGTACTTGTTTTCTCTGCTTTTTTGTTTTGGATTGGAAACAGTGGTCTTGCTGTAAGTGAGGAGTCCACTTAGAGTTTTCATGTTGATTTCATCCACATGCTTGGATTATGGTAGGTGCGGCTGTTTGACGTCCTCGCTCATGCTCTGGCTGAATGTATCATGCAGACTATCTGTGCTTGTACCCAACTCCAAGTGAAGGTTTATTCCTGACTGTGGAGGTAATTGTGGGTAGGCGATGAGTCACTGGACTGGAAGAAAGCAAAGGACTAAATGCTGACTCCTACGGGGCTCCGACGGTTTCACCGGGGTTAGATTAAGCCAACTGATTCAGGGTCTCAGACAGCGTCTAGCTAAGCCCCTGATAAGCACTACCAAGCACCGGCCAAGCACTATCGAACGTTAGTAGGATGGCTGCATGTGCTAGCTTGGCAGCCTCGCAAAGTGTCTCTGGGTTCGCGTTCGAACCCATCGGGTCAATGTCATGTCCAGAATTTGTGATTGGTGGGCCGTTTCTTCATGTCTCACTTTCACTGATCGAGTGGTGACTCAGATGACATCTTTCCAGTGGACTGCGGTAGTCCATTGAGCTCGCTCCACCCAGGGTGGCCTTTCAGGAACCTGTGGCGCTGCCCAGTGCCTTTACGCATCCGGAACGCTCCGAGCCAGCCAGCCAACTGCTGGTCGGTGCCTTGCATGATTCATCCCGCTTAGCTCCTGCGGTGCGTGGTATTGTTTTTCCTGTAGCTTTTTGGTAGTAGCCGTGACTCCGTCTGTCACCACCGTGCTGCACCGTGATGCCTTCTAATGAGAATACTGCTCTTTGAAGGGCATGGACACGATGGATTGGATCTCGCGCACATCACAGTCTAGAATGCAACACCTAGAAGTATGACTCGCAGACATGATCTTACACTGGGCACGGATATAGCCTAGCTGAGTACGGATCAACCATTCGAGCCCAGCGCAGGATACATGCATAATCTTCTCCCACCCACACATCTTACTCCTCGATCTCAACAACAAGCCCAGGAATCAACTCCACGCTCCCCGCCCTCTCCCCCTTCAACACCAACCGAATCCCCCACTCCTCCGCATTCTCACTCCCCACCAATTCGATCTTACGTCTCCCCCCGGCCTCCGAGGACGGAACATCCACCTCCCATAAACCCTCAGACCCTTCCCCCTCCCCCTCCCCCAGAACGGCAGTATAAACCCCACTCAACCTCCCCCTCTCTCCCGTAGGCACAACGACAGTCACCCCGGCCACCCCGGTAACCCCCGAAGGATGCCTTGTCACATCCTGACCCTCTTCCCGGTACGGAACCCGCCACGCTCTCGGCGTCTTATCCAAACACCAAAACGGCAAACGACCCACCTCAACCTTCCCCCGGGCCTCATGTCCATCCTCCCCATCATCAATAACAGCAGAACTAATCTCCCACTCCAACCGTACCCCATCCCCCTCCCTCACCCTTCCCCCAGCCACGGGATCCGTATACGCAATCCCCGTCGCGGGACGTGCAGCCTCAACCCGCCGCTGCACCGCCCCGAACTCCTCGGCCGAGGCGAGGGTGAGCGCCCAGTCGATCACGGTGTTCTCGGGCCGGGTGCCCCAGCGGTGCGACCGGCGCTTTTCAGGGCTGATGTCGTCGACGAAGGCGATTAGCTCGAGGTAGACTCCGTCTTGCAACAAGATGAGCTTGTTGGTGGTCAGGCCGTCGGCGTGGGTGCCGCCTGGGGCGAGGTGGAAGGTTTCGGTGAGGCGGGAGGGGAGAGATTCGAGGGTGGAGTGCGAGACGAGGAGGACGATGTGGTCGAGATGGGGTTGGGGGGGCATGCTGGGTGGTGGGTTGTCTGGTGAGTGAGCTTTGGGGTGTAGGATGGGATTGTTGGTGGTAATTAGGTGAGGTTGATGAGGTTAAGAGGTTGATGATAAGTGGAGGTTGCGGTGGGGGAAAGGAGGTTGGGTGAGGGGTGAGGGGTTTGTTTATGCGTGAGTTGCTGATGCGGGGTTGCGGATTGCTCATCGGGGGGCGGAGGCACCTCATCTTATCTTCTGTGACCATTCCATGGGCAGCCGAAACCCTTTGTTGGTCAACCGTGACATGACCTTCCTCATTGTACGAGTCCCAGTTTGTGAGATAGTACACAAATGCAACTGTCAGACTGTCCATCACATCCATTGCTTTGCTTTCGAATGTTTCCCTCTGGTCACTCCCGGGTGGATACAGGCTGTGCCATAACCGGCGGCACTGACATCTCAAATCGAGTCGGCTCCGTCGCTGAAAGGACTAACTCACAAGCACGAGCCCTGCTTGTTCTTGCTAACGTGCCTTCCTTCTCCTTGCTGGCCGTGGGTACTCTTCGGGCCTCAATCAAGTCCTCCATCTCAATTCCTATGTGGGTCTTCTGAGTAGGGGGAAATTGCGGGATTCACTCAAATGTGACCGAAGGCGCGCATTATGTCTTTGCTTGCGACTACCGTACTGTCATCCTGTCATCGGCAGCTTCCATCACGAACAGGATCACGGTGAAGATTCCCGTTGCATGGGGTCAGATCGCACGGGTCCAAAAACGAATCGACGACTCAGGATTCTCCCACGCCCGCGTAGCATGAAGGACCTGGCATCTCCATGCGAGAACACCCACTTCAAGCTATGGAGCACGTTCACTGCGGTAGGCGCTAACGCAGCCGCCTCACCTTGGAGGGACTGCTGCTTTCGTGCTTGGGCCCTCTTTTGGTGCCATGGATTTCTGAAGGAGCATTGCTTTTGGCGAGGCATAGAGACATAGGAGCCACCAACGCAGCGGTAAGACGATCAGCAAAGGTGTCATACGGCTGGATTGCAATCTGTCTTCATCGGATCAGCGGCCACTCAATGCACGCTGTGGCAAGTTTTGGATAAGTGAGCGCCTTGAGAAGCTCAGCGGTGATCTCAGCGTCGTACAAATGAATATATTCGTGGTCCCTTGTGCCCGTCACGAGAAGCCGCGACTAGAAGGACATGAGCTTAAAAAGTTCTAGGACTCTGTATTGGGAAAAAAGAAACAGTGTAAGAAGTGATGTCTGGTTCTGGCGGCTGCGCTTTGCGCTCTTGAAGTTGTGCAAGAGCCAACAGCAGGCATACAAAATAGGAGTCCTCAGTCCACTCCGGCGGGGTTATTTGAGCCAGTCGCTTCTTGGCAATTGCCGCGCCGACTCGGTTGAGACGTCCACGCGGATCTGGACACACCTCGAAGAGTCTCATGCGATCTCCGTTGACGTAACCATAATCTAGTTAACCGACCATTGAGGGTACGCCTCGAAGAACATGCTCGCTGGCTCGTCCATGGTGATGAAGTACCGTGTACTGGGGCCGATGTACGACCTGACCTGCAAAGGAAAATCGAGGCCTTTGCTGCTCCAGGCAGGTCGTCAGTCAGCCACTGCCGATGACCTGGGGGTCGTGTTGACGGATCAACGCATCTCTTATCGAGATCGAGCAAAGGCGCGTTCCTCGCCCACTAGAATGTCGACAAGGCAGCGATGTTTGAGGTTGGGAATCGGTGATCGTGCAACTCGCTCAGCATCGCTCGCTAGGTCTGCTCAGGTCTGTGGGGTGACTCGGGTTTCGTCTTTCCTCCCAGTGGATTTTATGCTGATATTGTCCGCACCTTCAAACCTACATCCCAAGAGGTTGAGATGGCGGTAAGTCCATAAGAGTGGATCTACCAGCAGTTCACGATGGGTTTGCATGAGGTTGCTGAGTAATACTTGGGGCGACGAGGTCACCATTGTGCCAACAGCCAGGGATGGGAACATGTGCAGGTGATTGTTCGTTGGTTGACCTGGGTATTGGGCCGATAGGGATGCCCTTACACCGCTTGATCTGCCCGCAATTACTGAGACCGCCTACGGTAATCTCCTCTATGTGGAGGCAAGATTTTGTGCGGATTATCGAGTGTATGTACTGGATATACCCAGTTAGATCATATATACTTTGCAAGTGTGATCATTTATCTGTTTTGCTCTCCCGGTCAGAAATCCACGGGTTTGAAATATTATATTATCTACTTTAGCCCACACCCTTTAGGAGAGTCGATCTCACCAACATCTTCAGGACTTACTCTTTGGTGCTGCGGTGTTTTCGTAGAACTCAAATTTAGCCGACTGAAGTCTCTATGAATAGTAGACCTTGATGTTCGCAGGTAAGGTCATTGAGCTTTAAAGCCGAAAAGAGCTAATTCCTCGATCAGCAGAAAAAGCGAGTCCTCCCCCTCGACAGTCCAATGATGATGTCCAACAGTACAGTACCAACTTCAATCACTGAGGCATAATAAATGAAGAGATCGGCATGCAACGTAACCGAGGCATCCCACCGGCACCGAGCCGCAGAGCTGACTGAATGGACATCACAGCTACCCACCGCAGCCATGAACCCAACCCCGCTGCATAGATTGCCCTACTCGACAGCGATAGCCCTGAGACCTGGCTCCTGTTCAGAAAAGGGTCCACTTTTCCCCTCTGCAAGCCTGCAACCACGTCACAGGATGACCTTATCGGGGCTAAGCTGCGGGACCCTGGCCAGAGAATTATCTTATCTGATCAACATGCAATTTGCACCCGGGCATCTGATTAGTGGGCAGCCCCATTCACCCTGAGACATCCCACATTGCCAAGAGCCCGCCGCGGCCGGGCGAGGACCACCAGCACCGGTGCTTGAGGTGGGATGAGGTTTAAATTCGAGGCCAACGAAGTCAAAGACAGTCTCAGCTGGGACAAATTCTCTCTCGCATATGCAATCTACGCAGATCTCGCACGTCAACCATAACACCTCACCCATGCGTTTCTCTAATGTTCTCGCTCTCCTCTCCCTGGCGGTCCTGCCTGCCTTCGCCAGTCCAGTCGACCACAACCAGGTATTGCCCCCTTACCCTTGTTCTGCTTCTGAGACATTCTCCTTGTGCTAACAATTATTTGTGGGGAATAGGAATCCTCAGTCAGCAGGCGCTGCTGCATCCTCTGCGACAACCCCTACGCCCGCTGCGGTGCGAACGACAAGCGCGAGGCGGTCGAGACGGAGGAGGAGGCGCTCTTCGGCCCCGTCGCCAAACGCTGCTGCATCAACTGCGACGTCAACCGCTGCAAGCGCGACGAGGAGCCCGTGGCCTGGCCAGCGAAGCGCTGCTGCATTCTGTGCGATAACCCGTACGCGAGCTGTTTGACGAACGATAAGCGGGAGGCGGTGGAGACTTTGGAGGAGGCTGTTGGGGGGGAGTATTAGGGGTGTCCACAAGTTGGTGTATTCTTTGTGACGAGAGACGTGGTGGCATGATTTACAGACTCCAAATCGATATATGCCGGGTGGTTGCGGAATAATTGATGTCGGCATGTCAGATTCTAGGTTAGGGTAGTCGAACCATGAACACTAGACACGACTCTTTTGTAAGAGTCTGAGTGTGTGCTATAGTAAAGTTCGTCAATTTAACAATATCTCATGCTTTCAAGCTATACCGAGGATCATCGAGTTAATGATTACTTATCGTTGGGTTGTGTGATTAGTGAGTGGGTAGTCAGGGAAAAGACACGACACCTCTTTTTCGATTCAGCGGGGTGTACTTCACCAGATTTACACCCCAAAGACTCAGTACATGCTTATCTGTGCAAGACCATAGTCGATAATAGCCTCAGCTAAATGCTCACGAACGTGCTTTCAAGCCCATCGGAGCTACAACACGCGGTGAGTCACCCCTGGCCTGCAAGGGCAGCTGCAAGGGATACATGCCACGACCCCGACCCCAAACAACCCGATCCAGCAGCCAACCCCAACAACGCACCTCGAATCTCAGACACATTCGACAATACGTAATCACGCATAGTACTTCACCGAGCAGACAAAACCCATCTCTCCTTCCAACCCACGACCTCCACCACAACACCACCACATCCCAACCCAAATCACCACCATACCATCCAACCACTCAGCCAATCCACAATGCATCTCACCCGCAAACAATGGCTCCAAGCCCTCACCCTCGCCCTACGTACATCCCAACCCCATCCTTCACCCCTTCCAACCCCAAACCCAAAACCCATAACCCAAACTAACAAAAGAAAGTCCCGGTCCAACCCACCGCCAAAATCCTCACCACAGCCCCAGATCCCACCGCCCCCTCCCTAACCTACAGCATCACCATCCCCAACACCAACAACAACACCAACACCCTCAATCCCCTTGAAGGTACCCCAAGGGGTCTCGGACCAATCTACCTCCGCCTCACCGCCCCCACAACCATGCAATGGATCTCCCTCGGCCAGGGGCCCGACATGGCCACCGCTAACATCTTCATCGTGTACGCCGCCTCCGCCACCAGCGTCACGCTCTCCCCGCGGTCCGGGGGCCAGGGCCAGCCGCGGTATAATCCCGGGGCGAATGTCACGCTGCTCGAGGGGTCGGGGATCGTGGATGGGATGATGGTGGCGGAGGTACGGTGTGAGGATTGTTGGGGGTCGTGGCCTGCTCTCCCTACTACTGGTAGTGATGGAGTGGGGGTTGGGGGTGAGACTGGGGCTGCGGCGGTGGATGTGACTGGGGCTGCGGTGACTGCGACTGGGGCTGGTGGCGGCGGTGGGTTCGTGATGGATCCGAACGGGAATGAGACGGCGTGGTTCTGGGCGTATCAGCTGGGTGCGCCGCTTAATAGTGATGATGTCGGGGCAGAGTTGGGGATGCATGATGTTAAGGGGGAGATGGTGTGGGATTTGAGGGAGGCGCGGTTTGAGGTTGGTGCTGGGGACGAGTTGGTGAAGGGGTTCAATCCTTTTGTTTGAGGGGGTGGGGTTATTACTAGAACAGGTTGGGGTTCGGTGACATTGCACGAAGTAGGCGTTTGAGACGGGTGGAGATTATATTGAGCTCATAAGCATGCAGAAAGAGGAACATGAAATTAGAAAATGAGGTCAAAATTTGTACACGCAAGCGAGATCTCCCCACTAAAAATATGCGAAATGGGAACTGTTGAACCCATTAGTATCCAAGAAATGCACAAGAAGCGTAGACTACAAACATGCCATGACCCCAATGCGACTAACCCTTCACAACGCCTTCCTTCCTTCGGAAGGCAATTAGTCCTGACCCTCCCCAAACTGCCGCGTCCACTCCTCCCTCTCCATCTTCCGCCCAAACGCCCCCGTCATCCGATCAAACCGCCACCGATAAACCGGCCACACCACCGAAGCCACCACCCCCATCACCCAGTCCCTCACCGGCCGATCGCGCGGACTCGGCCCGCGCATATTATTCAACAGCAGCTCCGTCTCCCCATCGACCGTGATATACCCCTGGCCCGCGCGCAGCCCCCGCAGCGTCAACTCCGCCACCTTGGCCGCCGTCAACCCGCCCTTGTTGTCCGCCGACCCCTCCATCTCTTTCAACAGGTGCGGTTTCCGGATCTGCTCCTCATAGAACGCATCCGTGTAGATCGTGCCCGGAAAGCTGCAGTGCACGCGGATGTCCTGCTGCGCGCGGTACAGCAACACCTCCGACCGCAGGGTGTCGGCCAGCGCGCGCGTGGCGGCTTTCGTGGGGGTGTAGGCGGCGTAGCCCGGGAAGCCGAGGAAGGCGGCCGTCGAGGCGGTGAAGATCAGGTGGCGTTTGGTTTGGCTGTCGGCGGGGGGCTCCTGCAGCCAGCGCCGGAGGCAGGCATGCGCGATGTATGCGGCGGCGAAGTAGTTCTGGTCCATGCAGGATTTGATCTCCTCCGGGGTGATGTTGGCGAAGATACCGACTTGGGCGGCGGTGCCGCCGGCGACGATAAAGAGGACGGATGGTGGGGTGGGCTGGGAGGTGATGAATTCTTGGACCTTTGGGGAAATGTGAGTGTGTAGGAAGCAATTATGAGTAGGGCTGAGGCAGGCTTACCTGTTTCGGATCTGTCAGATCGACGGCGGCGGCGCTGATGACCTGATCCGGCGACTGCGTGTGGGAGAGCAGCTCTTTACGGGTCTCCTCGAGTGGGCCGGGGCTTCGGGCTAGGATGGTGACATGGGCACCTGCACGAGGTGGGATGCACGTTAGTGGCTGGCTTTGTGGGAGCTTGATTTGATGTCAATCTTCCGAGAAAACATGCCTTGGGTGGTGAGTTGGATGGCGAGTTCGCGGCCTAGACCCTTTGATCCACCGGCGATGACGACGGTCTGCATGCGTGTTAGACGGGGCTCGCTGTCACTGTGGGGGAGTGGGTTCCGACACACCTGGCCTTGGACGTGAAAGTGCTTGCTTTGCGTCATGGTGTCACCTTTGCATGCAGTCTGGGGATATCCAGTGGATTGGGTGAAGAATGTACCGTACTATGGTTCAGTTCCGGAGGGTAAACAAGATATGATTCAGGGGTATTTTGCAGAACCATGGGATGATCGGGCTGGGATCTCTGCATGACTAGTGCTTATCGCCCGACGGAGTATCGTATTTCCGGCCTCAGCCTTGCTGGACGATCATTCCATATTCTACCCATCAGGAGTGAGGATCACGAGATAGATATCTGACATTGATATGACAGGATGATGCTCGTGGAATACAAGAACACTTGATATTTCGGAATGTGCAACCCTATCTGATCCCCTCGTCGATTTACCCGTGACTGCGGCAATTGAACCCGGGAGCAGCATTATCGCGATCAACAATGATTAGCCGTGGCGGGCCGCGCTAGCAAAGAACCTGTGGGGCTACTAAGGGGTTTTGCCCTTGGTGCTATCTTGCTCTCTGGCTGGCCAGCTCTGGCGAACGCCTCCAGTGGGTCAGGGTACTGCCGAAGTCGAATCGGAGATTGGAATCGTCGATAGCGTCGAATCTATGTCCCTGAGACTCATGCGTCATAGGACAGATTAGAAAATAGACTCTGATAGGGGAACGGAAGCGAGGAAAAAGGAAAATAAGCGATGATCATGCTCGTTAGGCACGAGAACCTGCAGCTGAACTGTGGGTCTGTGGTCGTGGGACCTGCCTTTGCTGTCTTGTCCGAGTTGATATATCAGCGTGGTTGTCTTCTGGGAGCTCAATCTTCTGAGAGATTAAGGCCACATATTTTGTGTGTGACGCAGGATGGCATCGTCTCCCTTCATCATAACAGAGCACATCGTCGGGTGCCAGCATGTCCGCGAATACCCTCATGCGACGAGACACGGTGACGATGCGCTGCAGCTGGTGGTGAAGCGGTACACTCCCAAGTCGAACCCGGATCCCCAGCCGGGAGATGTCACGATCATTGGTGCGCATGCGAGTGGGATGCCCAAGGTCCGTGGCCTCTAACGTAGATACTGCGCTCATTAGCCTGGCAAGACACTAACCTCGGGAACAGGAGCTCTACGAACCACTGTGGGAAGAAACTCTAGCAAAGCTCGCGCACCAGGGTGTCCGGATTCGCTCAATTTGGATCGCAGATACAGCGAGCCAGGCCGCCAGCGGGCTGTTGAACCGACAAAATCTAGGCAATGACCGTAAGCAATGCCTCAAAACGACAATCCTCCCCTATACTGACTCAATTGCAGCATCCTGGTTCGACCACTCCCGGGACCTCCTGCATCTAATCAACACCTTCAAAGCCGACATGCCGCGACCGATCATCGGCGTGGGACACAGCCTCGGCGCCGGACAACTGTACGTTCCTCGGTTCTAAACTGAATCACCGGATGGGAATAACCGTCGACTTAGAATTCTATTGTCCCTAATGCACCCCCGCCTCCTCACCTCCCTCATGCTCATCGACCCCGTGCTGGCTCCAGATGTTCTCACCGGCAAAGGCGCCGCCTTCGCCCGCGCCTCCCTCTCCGCCCCCGACAAGTGGGCCACCCGCGCCGCTGCCACGACATTTTTGAAGAAACAGTATCGTAAATGGGATCCGCGGGCGTTCGATTGCTTACTGCAGTACGGCCTAGTCGACACCCCTTCAGGAGTCAGTCTTACTACCTCGCGCCACCAGGAAGTGATCCAGTACCTTCGCGCCAATTTCTCGGGCCGCAGGCCCTTAGATCCGGAGAGTGAGTCAGAGGAGCATGATGCGGTGTTTCATGCGGATGTCATCGGTCCCGCGCACGCGGTCGCCCCGTTCTATCGGTACGAGCCGATCCTGGCGTTCAAGCTGCTGAAGCATGTGCGGCCGTCTGTATTGTACGTCTTTGGTGAGAGGAGTCCGATTTCAACGCCGGAGATGCGAGCGGAGAAGGTGGAGCGGACGGGGAGGGGTATCGGGGGGAGTGGTGGGCGCTCGCGGGGGAGGGTGAAGGAGGTTGTTGTTCCGGTTGCTGGTCATCAGGTTCCGTTTGAGGATGTAGGGGGCGTGGCGGATGCGATGGCGGAGTGGCTGAGGGAGGAGGTTAGGAGGTGGAAGCTGGATGAGCAGAGCATACAGCGGGATTGGGAGGAACGGTCGGTGGAGGCAAGGGTGACTTTGTCTGGGGAGTGGGGGGCTCAGTTGAAAGATTCTTTGAAGAGGAAGGACAAGGTTGTGAGGGCGAAATTATGACATGTCCTTTGATGATAGATGAGGGAGCAGGAAATAAATAGAGGCTGGCTTATAGAATAATGTTGGATAGATTATCATGTCATACTTAGCAATAAGTCGGGAGTATAAAGGCGCTGACTAGGCTTGGAAAGGGAAGTTCTTGGTTTGTGTTAATGGTAATCTTGATATCATTCATTCACTCTGCGCAATTTGATTTTGACTGGAGGGCTATAGTCTCGTGTGTTCCTCCCCAACAGCAGCCGAGTCTTCCTTTTCATTCTTCGAAGCCCATCCTTACATTTTAACACAGTCACCTCACTCCTTGGCTTCCGTACTTTAGTCTCTGGATTCATCATCAGAAGACTTTTCAACTGACTCGTTCCAACACACTCGTTCCAGCCCACAGCAAGCCTTCCCCAGAAAGCCCGTCCGCGAGTGTTCGGCTTGCTCTAACGCCACCATGAGTCTCTCTAGATTACCCCCCGAGCTCATCCTCATGGTCGCAGAAAGCCTCGACTCGGAAAAAGCGATCAACTCTCTGACTCGAATAAATCGGTTCTTCTACTCCCTGTTGAATCCCTTTCTCTACCTACCATGCCCGAATAGACGTTGAGCTCTCTGCTCTACAACATGCCGCACGGAAGAACTATCCGGGGGTGATTGACCACCTTGTCGATTCTGGTGTCAGTCTACACAGTCGGAAAGCATGGTTTTACCAAGAATGGTATTTCGGCAAGCCTAAAAACCACCACCCGATTATCTTGGCTGGATATTCAGGCCACGCCAATGTCATGGAGACGCTATTGAGCAAAGAAGAACTGACTAGCGGGCTCACCGAAGCAGACTTCGCTGATACGATGTACTGGACAGTGCAGGCCAACCAGGTCAAAGTAGTGAAGGGGCTGCTGGACCGAAGAGTGACGGATTCGTGGAGATTCGATGATCGCCTCCTTCCCCAGGCTGCAAACAAACATAACTGCATTGATCTTGTGAATGTACTCTTGACCGATGCAGATAAGCGAACAAAAACAGGCCTTCTACCTGCACCCGTTCGGCAGCGAGTAATAGACGAGGCGTTCCTTGCGGGGATGAGCAGGCAGAATCCTGAAGACCTAATCACACTATTACTGAAGGCGGGGGCTGATATCAACTTCTATCCTCTGTGGCCGTGTACCCCTCTCGGAGAGGCTGCGCACTACAAACACGCGGGTGCTGTGAAGCTTCTCCTTGAGGCCGGGGTAGACCCCAATCTTCTGGATAGCCGAAAATGGGGACCACTTGCATGCGCGATAAAACCCTGGAAAATAGGTATCGCTTACTCATGGAACCCCCCTGGGCACGATCTAGAATATCCTGACCGACAACCCTTACCTCGTCCAATGTCACGCTCCGTCAGGGAGATCTTCCGTCTCCTTTTTGAGTATGGAGCGGAACCATCTCGAGCTGGAGGTAGCTGGGCACTGCACCTTGCTGTACTTTATCAATGTTATGAGGCGGCACACCTGTTGATCGACAAGGGTGCTCAGATCACTACGGCCCCTGTTAACGATTCTCAGCAAGCGGCCTTGAACCAAGCGGTAGCAGATCGCGACTTTGAAGCTATCAAGGCTATAGTGCCCCGAGAGTGGTCCTCAAATGCCTAGGCGGGACTTCCGAGCTCGAGGCTCCAGACTTCCAGGTTTTAACATGTACATGGAGGTGCAAGTGTTGCTCAGTGTGTTTCAAGCCTGAGATAGTATTCTTTTGATCGGTTCAGAGAAATTAGCATAAAGTCATCAAAAATTAGCTGTAGTACCACAAACACACAACCTTCATATCGTACCATAGCGGTCAAGGAAAATGACCATATAGCCCACCCTCCACAAGAGATGAACACCCGAATGTTAGACTGATAATCTTTAAAACCAATTTGAAGAAAGTAAGAGCCATTGCTTACATATGATAAAATTTTGGAAAAGTCACTATTAGACGGCTGTTTATGTCTTTAGTTTTTTTGCGCTGTCAGCCACGTGTATCCCGTGATCTGACCAATCTGAGGAGTAACAACACTCACTCCTTTCCAAGAAGAACTCGACGAAAGTTACTGATGTATAAAGCTATCAACTTCTAAACTCATCTGGCTTCTCTAAAAGTGTGCATTCCCGTGATTTGGCCCTGATTCACCCAAGCGAGATGTCTACTTAAAGCGTAGATATTTTCACAAAAGAACCCCGTACTCAGATATGAACTGTTATCAATAGTTCTTACTTCTTACTTCTTACGTTCTCCTTTGATCTTCCCTCCAACACTTACTTATCTTAATACAACATACCAGGAGGATCTTCAACTCACAAACCGAGCCTACAACGAGACTGCCTTCACTTGCAAAGTACAGCAAATATGAGTCTTTTAAAGCTACCCCCCGCGCCGTTCCTGATGGTTGTAGAGAGCCTGCTATCAGAAAAGACGATCAACTTTCTCTATTTTAATAATAATAATCATTAAAAAATCTTAATCATGTTAAATAAATAAACTGTCGATCACCTTTCTCCCAGCTAGACCCATTTCTTTATCGCTATAATGTTCGAACAGGTGACGTCTCTGCTTGGAAGCATGCGGCTACAAACAACCATCCTGAGGTCGTCAGGAAGCTTCTTCATGCCGGTGCAGATCTCTACGACCCATGTGGCACGAGTCAGAGCTCAACATCTGTCCTCAGCCCAACCATCCCCTCATTATCGCAACGATCCACGACCACCCCGAGGTGCTGGAGACGCTATTGGACCAAGAAACAGGAGGAGGGATGATCCACAGAATGAGTGGAGCTATTTACGCAGTCATGCTGCGGTACGCCATCTGGAACAACGCGGTGGGAGTGGTCCGCATGCTACTGTTTGGCAAGATGAGGGATCTGTACAACAAGCGCGAGCCGAGATTCATCTTCCCCCTCGCGATCGCTGCAATCGGGGGCCACGCAGAAATTGTTGCGATGCTCCTCCAAGAGCCCACCGAGCGCGTCAAGTCGGGTCTCCTCTTTCCGACTGTCCAGCACCGCGAGATCACCGCCGCCCTCTTCGACGCCATACGCAGCACGGACCCGGACGCCACCGCCGCACTGTTGCTGCGGGCCGGCGCGGACGTCAACGCCCCGAACAGCTGCAATTGATGCGGGCGGCGCGGAATCAGCACCCCGGCGCGCTGCAGCTGCTGCTCGAGGCGGGGACCGATCCCAACCACACACAAAGCGCTAGTGAGGGCCCGCTGGCCAGCGCGGTGGACTCTCTCGGCTGCCGATTCCATGACCCGCGGCATCCGATGGGCTATGCCCCTTTCTTGTGTACCCTCGATCATACACGCGTTGAGCTCGCCGCCGAGCAGATCCTACCGCGCATCCCGCGCACCCTCTGTCTGTTGTTCCGGCACGGGGCGGACCCGCGGCGCGCGGGCGGCGCGGCTGTGCTGCTGCGGGCCGTTACTGCGGAGTCTTGGCTGACGGCGCGGTTTATTACTGCCAAGGGGGCGCGCATTATCATCAAAAATGACGATTTCGAACCCGAGGCTCAGGCAGCGCTGGGTTGCGCGGCCGGGGATTACGATTTTGAGAGCGTCGTGGCTATTCTTGAGGTGGAAGGGTTGAAGATTTAAGTTCACAGCATCGTGCTCTGACTTGGACTACTACATGTGATGTAAAGCATTGGTTCTGGGTTTCCGTATTTGCGTTGGTGTTTGCTTGACGGCTGAACTGAAATTGGAAGAATTCTTGTTTAGCTGTGTTGTATCTGTTGAAGACTGATCAGAATGCTTACTACAAGGGACCCGTATCATAGAAGAATTTGATAACAAAATTACAAGAACAGACACTAATTATGCAGTGCTCATGATCATCGTCATCATCTCTTTAAGACTGTATTGTAATCCATCCCCATCAACAACCCCCATCAGCCCCCAGACCCAATCCCAAAAACAACCCTAAGGAAAGGGATCATACGCCCCCTCCCCCCAACAAGCGCCCTGCACCTCATCACCCTCAACATCCACCTCCGCAACCCCCTGCGCTCCAAACCTCTTCATGACCCCACCCCCCACGGCCTCCGTATCAAACGCAGTCCACCCCTTCTCCTCCAACCCATGCACCGGATCCCTCGCAAACGCCAGCAGATAATCCTGCATCACCTGGCTAGTCCGTACCTCCTCCCCCGTCGTCTCATTGCCGCGCACAATCCCAAACGTTCCAAAATTCATCGTCAAATCACTCGAATGGTACGCCCCCATCCACCCCAACGGACTCACATTGCTAAAATTCCCCGCAAACTGATACCGATACGTCTTCAACCCCGCGCGCTGCCGCACCACGCTCGTGTTCGCACTCACACACAGCCAATCGCGCAGCGTCACCGTATTCACCCCCTCCTGCCACGGCCCAGCCGTCAGATTGCTGCTGGGGAAAGTGTAGAGCGCAGCAGCCTCGTTCGCGCAGTTCGAGATAATCGCAGGGGTCTTCGCGATGAGTCCCTTCGCCGCGCGCGCCGGGTAGTCCGCGAAGATGATCTTCTCGTCCGCGACGGGGGCGAAGGTCATCGTGGGGACGGTCTTGGCGTCGCCGTAGCGGCCGATGAAATTCTGGATCGTGTCCACGGGGACCTGGCGCATGCACTCGAGTTCCTTCTGCGGGTGATGGGGGAAATCGCACCCGAGGTTTTTGGCCACGAAGGTGAAGTTCGAGTGGCTGGTGTCCAGGCTCGGGGTGGTTTTGAGGGCGGTCCCGGATTGTGAGATGGTTGCGCGCGCTAGCAGGTTCTCCGCGAAGGCGTAGGTGTGGTAGTCGACGCTCATGGCGCCGGCGGATTGGCCCCATAGCGTGATGGCCGACGGGTCGCCGCCGAACTCGCGGATGTGCGCGTGGACCCATTCCAGGGCGGCGCGCTGGTCGAGGATCCCCAGGTTTTGATCCGACAAGCCGGCGGCGTTGGGGAAGCCCATGATGTTGAGTCGGTAGTTGGTCGTCACGACGATGTGGTCTTGGGTGCGGTTGACCCAGGCGGCCGGCAGCTGGTAGGGGACGCGGATCCCGCCGGTGCGGAATTGCCCCCCGCTGTAGAAGACGAGCACGGGCAGGTTAGAGGCCGCGGTCGCGTTGGCGGGCGTCCAGATGGCCAGGTGCAGGCAGTCTTCGGCGCTGTGCTGGGCCATCGCCGCGGCGGTGGAGTTTTGGTCGGGTTCGTCGGAGATGAGGAATTCCGGGACCAGGGTGCCGAAGACCGAGGGGCCCCGGTACACGTACTGCGAGCAGGCAGGCGGGAATTGCGTGGCATTGTGGTGTTGGTTGGAGGCCGGGAGCGAGTGAGGGGGCTGCCAGCGGCGGGAGCCTACGGGGGGTTGGGCGTAGGGGATGGCCCGGAATTCACGCACGGAGGGGTAGGAAGGGTTGTAGAGGCCGGTGTAACTGCCCGTGCTGGTGTGCACGGTCAATGCATCGTCACTGTGGTGGGAGGTTGCCGTCACGCTTTGCGCGGGTAGCAGCAGCAGCAGCGATGCGGATAATGATGGGACTCTCATTCTCACGGGTGGGAGGTAATTTGGTGGCTGCAGCTACTTCGAAGGGTCTCGGAGAGTGCAGGCGGCCCTGCATGAACGACATCAGGCCGAGGTGCCACACTGCCAATATTTAATCAATGTCCGGGGTTTGACCGGCCCTCCGCAATATGCGGAGTCATTTCCCCCGGTTCCCCATGATTCGGTGACAGCTGCAGCTGGCACTCTCATTGCCGAACTTTCTGTCCGAGATGGATTCGGTGGCTTGTCGTCTGGAGTCGAAAGAGTTAGGGCGCAGTCGGCTGCACCTCGGGTGGTCGGATTTTCCGAGCAGCAGTGCAGCGTCCCTGGATCGATGTAACCCTACAACAACGGGATCCTTTTATGAGGAGCTGCAAGACGGCCCGTCCAGGCTAAGGCTTTGTGTCCGGCTTGCACCGGTCTACGAGGAAAACTAATTGGCTGTGTCGCTTTATTACTGGGGAAAACATTATGATCGCTGCGTATTGCATCACCTGCCGAGAATCTGATTAGGGTCCTCGACACAATACAGTCCGGCACGTGGAGGAGCCGATAAGATAACGCCGCTTCTGCCAATGCAGTACTGTAGCTCAGCACTCAACTAAAACTAAAACAGCTTCATGCATAAGCTCGTGGGCAAAGGCTCCGTCTCTCGAGAGCAGTGAGACTATCGATTCCACTACATGAGCCCGATGTCCAAGACAGGAATAGGACTACGTATTCATGCCCCATCCGGAACTTTCTGCGTCCATCCGCCGAATGTTCCGCTTAGTCCTATGGGCATTGGAGTCGAACATTGTCAAAACAAGTAAAGATCATCTGGTGATCTCATTCCCGTTGTTCTCACATTTTCGCTCCTGCCAAGCACTGAACCCAGCAAACGGAAAGCCAAGCCGGCCAGCCGTCAGGAACAGGGGTTGTCAATGTCATTATCTCGACACCAGACCAAAGCTCGTACAAAGCAAAGTCATAAGCACTTAAACACTATACGAGCTAATCTCCACGATTAATCAAACCGGCGGACAGCACTAAGTAATAAAGGAAAGCGTCTGCCTACGGGCTCCGGAGGCCACCCGGCATATTCTCCGTCTTGGCACAGGACCGTTCTTTTCTTTGCAGAAAATCGGGATTTCCGAACGGCGCTAACGGGGGCTTGCAGGACGCCGTTTATTCCTATTCGGGCAAGGATGTGATCATCCGCGGCCCGGTGTTTCCAGTGGTAGGAGTATGCCCTAATGCTATTTACTTCATACTGCATAGTGAAACGTGCATGCTGTCATCCAGGCTCCATGTTTTACTGCATTCCTTGGCAAGTGGGCGTGGTGGTTCCTGGTGCAGCAGCTACCTCCCAGCGGGTTGTGAGTACAGATTTGCAATGCTGATCTCTGCTGGCTATCTCGGTTCCTCGATGTGCTCCACTGGCTGAGATCGTTGTAGCCATGTATAAATACCTGCCTTGATGCCGATCGATTGGGGTCTGTAGATTGCCATCATCTCTTCCACTCTCCACTCATTCTTCAGAAAAGCTAGCCCACCATGCGGTTGCACGCCGGAGCCCTCCTACTCTCCAGTCTGAGCCAGGCGCTGGCCCGCCCAGCCAGCACCAGTACCAGCACCCGCGACACCTCGTCTCTGATCGTCGAGGACGCCCCCGACTACGTCCGCCCCTACGTGATCCGGCACTACTCCCACGCGCGGGCCGTGACCGTGGGCACGCAGCTGTACCGGTTTTACGTGACCGGCCCTTCCTCGGGGTACGCCTTCACCCTGATGGGCACCAACGCGCCGCACAGCGACGCCCTCGGTGTGCTCCCGCACATCCACCAGAAGCACTACGAGAACTTCTACTGCAATAAGGGCAGCTTCCAGCTGTGGGCGCAGGGCGGCAACGACACGCAACAGACGCGGGTGCTGTCCGCCGGGGACTACGGCAGCGTGCCGCGCAACGTGACACATACATTCCAGATCCAGGACCCGGACACCGAGATGATAGGAGTGATTGTCCCTGGTGGGTTTGAGTGAGTCCATCCACCTGATCCCCGGTTTCCCCCTCCCACCTCACAGCCTAACGAATTCAATGAAGGGACCTATTCTACTACCTCGGCACCAACGCAACCGACACAACCCACACCCCGTACATCCCTTCGTCCAGCGACAGCTCCTCGACCACGGGCCCCGACTCCACGACCATCACGACCCTCGAATCCTTCGACGTCTACGCCAAACTCGCCTTCACCCCGCGCACCGATACCGTGAACGGCACCGCCCCCGCCAGCACGGTCTGGCACAACGGCGCCAATGCCCTCGCCTCCACCGCCGGTGACCCCTACTTTGTGGCCAACGGCTGGGGCCCCAAGTACCTCAACTCGCAGTACGGGTACCAGATCGTCGCGCCCTTCGTCACGGCCACCCAGGCCCAAGATACGAACTACACCCTGTCCACGATCTCGATGAGCACCGTCCCGAGCACTGTGACGGTGCCTACGTGGTCGTTCCCGGGGGCCTGTGCGTTCCAGGTCCAGGAGGGACGGGTTGTGGTGCAGATTGGGGATTATGCTGCTACGGAGCTGGGGAGTGGCGATGTCGCGTTTGTCCCTGGGGGTGTGGAGTTCAAGTATTACAGTGAGGCGTACTTCAGTAAGGTGTTGTTTGTGAGTTCGGGGAGTGATGGGTTGGATCAGGTGCTGGTCGACGGCGGGGAGGAGTGGAGCTCGGTCACCTTTCCGGCGGATTGGTAGGGTTTGTTTTAGGGTTGGGTTGGGAGGGGTTTAAGCCGCCCGGGGGGGGAGGGGGGGAAGGGAAGGTGGGCGGTGGTTATAGA